TGTAATGATAATTATAATTAAATATAATAATAATTATAAATTAATGTTAATTATAATAATTGAACTAAAAAATTATAATAACTATTATAAATCTCAACAATTATAATTATAATAATAATTAATAAAATTTATATATGAAAAGAGAAATGAATTATAATCTATTTGAATAGTTATTAGAATAATCACTACATTGGAAAAATCTAATAATTATATTTCTGATTCAGGGTGTTGGCAGACCTGGACAATCTAATGCCAGGGACGACGACGAGGCGTACGATGACTATTATGATGGTTCTGGCACCCGACACACTAGAAGTCGGGGTGTCAATGCGTCCGTTCGTCGGGAGAGGGACACGGAAAGGCAGGCGTTGATCGATGAGGCTCGTAGGGTACAGCTTCGTCAGGCTAGCCAAAGTTCCCGCCCCCCCGCACCAGTGCCCACTGGTCCATATCATTTTGAGGGCCAACCAGCTAGTTCGCGACCTCACGGAGCCCTCCTGTACGGCGAACATAGATTTTATTATCCTGGCCAGGCGGGCAGGACGATGCCCCCGGCATCAGGACCGTACGATCAGCCGGGATGTGCTTTTCCCCGCTACGCAGGGAAGTCGTTACCCCCCCGCGCACGCGTACCATTACCTTATGGTCAACAGGGGTATGCTGATGATGAGTCGTACGGCGAGAAGGAGCCGGGTCCAGAGGACTATGACTCGGACGACTCTTCAGATGATCAGGACCACGCACAGCCTACGGGTCCTAACCACCCTCGTGCTACTGTACAGCCAGTTCGTCCGGTACAGCCGGTTCTACAGCATGTTCGTCCGGTACATGCTGTTCGTCCCACACAGCCTGCTCCTCAACGACAGGCTGGGGGGCGTTTTGGCCCATCTACATCCTCATCAGGTAAATAATTTACTTATTTATTGTTTTGTAATTATTTAGGGTAAGTTGAATAAATTGTAATTAATTATAAATTCAAAAAATAATATTAATAATTATAAGGGAAAATTACACTTTGCATACCGAACTATCCGCGTTTTTACACTTTGCCCACTCAACTTTTTCCGGTGACACTTTACCCCTTGAACTTCACATATTCTTGCACTTAACGACTTCCGACACCGGAGATGCAAAATCAAGGGCAAAATCGTCATTTACACCTTAGGAGACACCTCAAATTAGTCTTCACGAGTACACTTTGCCTACTGAACTATTCGCGTTTTTACACTTTGCCCTTGATTTTGCATCTCCGGTGGCCGGAAGTCGTTAAGTGCAAGAAAATGTGAAGTTCAAGGGGTAAAATGTCACCGGAAAAAGTTGAGTGGGCAAAGTGTAAAAACGCGGATAGTTCGGTAGGCAAAGTGTAATTTTCCCTAATTATAAATTATATATGCTTATAATAATAACGTAAAATGTAAAATGTAACGTAACTAATGAAATATGTTTTATTAAATATATTTTATTTAATGCATCTGCCAGCAAGTCAATATATACAGATATGTTGTATTTTAATGCAGGTACTAGCAAACGAGCTAGGACCGATGATGATGCACCTTGGATCGTTAGAGGCCCAGTGCCCGGTGGGCCCATTGATGGGAGTGTCATCCCTAGCTTTCTTGGGCACGTCGCCTCCCGCATGTGGAGTGGGAATTTGAGGGGCCGCTGAAATGCCACAACAGACTGCGAGCGATCGAGAATCTGAAGGCTTGGCGTGAAGAGATGTCTTCCGATGCGGGAGCTCTTCTCGACCAGACCGGGCTGTCACATTTGGTCGACTCCATGCACACCCACTTGGACACCCCACTCCTTTCTGCTTTTGTGGAGCGATGGCAGCCGGATACTAACTCGTTTCACATGCCTTTTGGTGAGATGAGCATCATGCGTTCCAGTGGAGGGAGTCGTGGTCGCTGAGGACCCGGATTCGGACGCCTGCCATGGGCTCTGCATGTCTATACTTTCGGTCACCAAGGGCGAACTCATGAGTTCGTTCTGGCAGCGTGGTTCGGTGTCCGAAGCCGCCATTTCGGGGACATTCAGGGGGAAACGCCGACCGGCTAGGGATGAGACGGGTGCCTGGATGTGGGTGATGCTGGCTACCACTTTGTTCGTCGACAAGAGTGGTAGTAGAGTGACCCCCAAGCTCCTGCACGAGGTGCTCGACGGCTTGGATTTGATTGGGGGTTACTCATGGGGATCGGCTACGCTGGCATACATGTACAGACAGCTAGGTATTGCCAGCCGAGGGGACTCTGCCCAGATGTCGGGCTGCTTGACTCTTCTGCAGTCCTGGATATATGAGTATTTTCCCGATTTTCGACCCCGGGGGCGTCTACCCATTGGTCCTGACTGTCTCGCACGATCACGCTCGTGGAGCGTAGGGAATGCGCCACGGTCAGACGATCGGCTCACAGCCATCCGTCGGCGCCTCGACAGACTCATTGCCTCCGATGTACGTGAAGTTATTTTATTTAAATTTAGTTACCCGTTATTTAAAATAACATAATTATTTTTATAAATGCTCTTATGCAATTGTGAACATGTGCAATGGTTGCCATACGGCAGCTCCAGCCCAGATGCGATAGAGCCGAGTACTCTTTATAGCGGATTGATTCGATACCGCGATGTCGTCGAGCCGTACTTGCCTGCGCGGTGTCTGCGTCAGCTGGGTTATGTCCAGACTGTCCCTCCCCCTATATTCCCGCCAATCAGTGCAGTACGCGCTTGGGAGTCTAGGAACTACAAGGTTGAGCATTCTGAGGCTGGTGCAGTAGGTGCCTGGACCCAGTTCCCGATGTCTGGGACGGTCAACACCGGTATGTTGACCCACACCACACAGGATCGCGGGGAGGCAACTGAGGATTATATGGAGTGGTACAGTCGGGTTTCCCGTCCGACTGTCATGGGCGAGGAGCTGGCGGACGAGAACGAGGTCCCTACTCGTGTCAATACCGCCTATGTGAGTTGGTTACTAAATTTTAATTAATGTTAATTCATTACAATAATTTTTTATTTTAATAAATTTTAGTCTTATCTTTTTATTCTTTCATTTTTTTAGTGGGTGGACCGTCTTTTGGGCATTACATCGACCTTGCACCAGATTGTTCCAGACTGTCCGGAGGCGACGGAAGTTGAAGAACAGCTGGCTAAGTTTAAGTTGGATTACGACAATGCCCAATAATGATGTAATGAATGTTTTTTTTAATTATTATTGTAAAACATTAAGTTGAATGATTTTTTTTTTTTTTGCTAAACTTAAGTTGAACTGATTCATTTATTTATTTTTATTTGCTAAACTTAAGTTGAATGAGAAGCGTCATACCATAACTGAATAATATCGTTCTTTTATTCAAGAACGATTTGTTTGAACAGTATACCACAATTGCAACCTAGACTGGTACTGATGCTCCCAACCCACAACCGATTGATCTCGGTAACGGAACCGCATGTTATGAATAGGCGGTAATGGACAATCATCAGTCAAATCTAAACGAATGTAGTGTTCTACGGTACCAAGATGGCAAATGGCAATCTCACGACATGGTCCTCTAGCCGATGATCGTGTAGTGAGAGGCAACACTGTGGTGCTGAATAAGTCGTGCTGCCCACCTTGTGGACCAGAGCTCAAATGAACGACAACCACATTAAATAGGGTCGCAACGGCATAGAGGTCCTGCGGAACTTCGAACCAGTGAGTCGGTCCACAAGGGCCTCTGGCCCACCTTACGCGACGGAGTCCGGCCTCGATATCTCTAAAATAGATGTACTCGTACAATTCAGGGTGGTTGTCGACCTCCTTCGCAATGTTTTCTCTTGCATCTGCCCAGTACTTCTGATGACCATACATGTGACTCGCGATGACCCGAAATTTGCAGTTACCATCCGCATCCACATTCAGGTAACTCACTATGTAGTCCAACATATGCCAGGGGATACATTGCCACATTGAAAATCCAAATATATTTGTCGGTCTAAACTCTGCAATAAGTATCATAATAATTTCACGTCACAATTTATATAATCATATAAATACTTTAATTAACGCTCAGCCGTATTTAAAAAAAAAAATATGACCTTCATCCCCTTGTGACTGTTGAGAAGACGAACTTGTCTGTCCACGCGAAGAATTGGTCGTACGGCTCGATTTCCGACCTCGCGATTTATCGTTGTACTCAAAAGCAGATGGTTTACGCTTAGTTGAATTAGTTTTCTTGGGACGACCTCGCGGGTTATCCTTAACCTCAGGTTCCGCATAATCCTGTTGGTCTGGGTAAAGATGACTGTACATGAACTGATTCACGTACCGCATCGTCGCGGGATCGCGGGTTTCAACC